TCATCTTGTTCAACTGACACCTTAGAGGTCTCAGCAAAGCAGCCTGTCCCCATGAAACATCCTGTAAACTAACTGGCTATTATCTCTTGAAATTCCATGCAAAGTTGAATTCAGGGTGGTGAGAAATTCATCAAATCATGGGAAGTGCCCTTTTTTCCCATCCATCAGGCATTGGCTTCCTGTCTCTCCCACTGTCATACATTTTGTTCCATATACTGGGATAACCACAGATAGGGGATGAACAGGAAATCTGTCCCCAGTCATTTAATTTTTTTGTTGTTGTTAATTTCCAATGTTCCTGACCGTGAAATGTGGTGTGAAGCTGCCCTGCAATTGTTCACCTTTCACTATGGAATTTGAAGCTTCCAAATACGAAAAGTATTTATTTATATTTGAATGCTAAATTTTACTTAATGGCTTTTCAGCACCTATGCTGATGATTTTTCAATTTTTCTCTTTTGATCTATTCTTGACATAATATGCTGCTAGGATTCTGTTAATATTTATTTAATATTTCTGTAATAGTATTCATAAGTGAGACTAATACGTTATTTTTCTTTCTTTTCCCTTTTTAATGAGTTATTTTTATTGGATTTTGGATATATATTATTACAGCCTTTATTAAGAATTTCAACCATTGAGGATTTTTAAACATAAATGAATAAATTTTTTATCTCTACATATTATATTTGTTCTTTCTCTTTTTTTATTTTTATTGAATCAAGATTGATTATACATATTTTGGGGGTTCAATGTTGAGATATGTTGAGCAAATCAATACTACTAGCATATATATTGTTACAAATCATACTTATTCTTTATGTCCCTTGTCCAATCTTACTCCATCCTCCTCCCCCTCCCCCTTCTAATTACCCTAGATTTCTTCTCTCCTTCTGAAAGAATAATGGTTACTCTGTTGATTTGTTGCCTAGATGATCTGTCCAATGCTGAGAGGTGTGATCAGGTCCCCCAATATTATCATAGAGCGGATGCTTCTTCTATCACTCTGGAATGGGCTTTGTGGAGAGAGACATCCTCTTCTTTTCTTTATCTCTGCTGGTGACTCTCCTTGTGCCAATGCACTCCAGTGGCTGGCAGACCATCTGCGTGGTGGTTGTGGCATCTAGCCATTTCCACAGCAGCCATGGTTATTATGGTGGCTGTGGTGGGCCACCCACATGGAGGTGATGTTTTTGGCATGCTCCTTGGCACTGGCGGTGTGCCTGGTTGTGGGGGTGGTCCAGTCTCTGGCTCCATCCCTCGGGTCCCCAGGTGGCCCTGAGGCACTGGCACAGTATGCCTGGTTGTGGGAGGTGGCTCTGGTCCCCACTCCATGCCTCACATCCCAGGGCAGACCCAAGGCACTGGCGGTGTGTCTGGGCCAGAACTAATTTTTTTGTGTCCTTTGCTTACTTCTAAAGTGGGGAACTTCCTGTTGGGACCAGTCCTTGAGCTCTGTGGTTGAGCCAAATTGCTGCTTTGCTGCTTACTTCCCTAGGGAAGGCTTTTTGTGCAGCACAGGTTATAATGGTTGACTTTATAGGTACTTCCAGCTCTCCAGAGACTTGGTTCCCCTGGGTTGTGTAGTAACTCTGATCAGGGCCTGAGTCTTTTCATCAAACTGCACCCCATGCAATTCTATATTCCTGACCAGTCTCCTCTGAGTTGTCCTACAGTGACTTGGGTGCAAGTCAGCTGTCCTTGCTGTGCCCCAGAGTTCCTGCAGTGGGCCCGTCTCTCCCACTGCCCAAGCTGCAAACGCTTCCCATGGAGCAGGCCATGCACCAGTCCCTTGTGATGACTCGCCAGCCTCTGAGTGGCTCTATTTTTTCAGTTGTTGTGGCTCCTTGCTCCTCTATGGGTCCACGGGAACCCTATTAGTGGTCTTGCTGGCCTGGGGGCCACCAAGGCCCTCTTCTCCCCTGCTTCCATGCAACTTCATCTGAAAGGCACAGCTACAGCTTTTGCCAGCTCTTGCTCCATGTGCTCAGCAGTTCCAGCCTTAAAGCAGTGGCAGCGTGAAACTAACCAGAGCAGTCTTTTCTTTCTCTCATCGTGGCTTCTCCCACCTTCATGCATTCTGTAGGTCTCTACTCCTCTACCCCTGAGCTCTAGTGGCCCCAGCTTGGCTGTTGTTGCTTTTTTATATAGTTGTAAATTGGTTGATTTCTGGGAGAGAGTGACACTGGGGACCATCTATTCTGCCATCTTGACTTATTTGTACTCTTTCAGATTTACCCGTTCTCTTTTCACAGTCCTATGTTCTATCATTTCATCTGTTCTATCATTTTTAACTACTTTATAGTCTTTTTCAAATTGTCCTATTGTCTCAAATGCTTAAGGAGCTAATTCTCCTATTTATTACATTTACCTATTCACTCCTTCATGTGATTCGTTTCCTAGTTTGGTTTATAATGTCTTATTATAAACTCATCTTCAATGGGACTTGTTTATTCTACTAGAGACCAGAATAAACAACTGACTAGAAGCATTTTCTTCTGACAGGGCCAAGGGGATTCACCACTTTGAAACCAGCTTTTATTTTCTTTCTTGACTTTGGGATTCCCTCAGCACATGGGTAGTATAAATTAGGACCTCACACTTATGCATGGCATAGGCTGGCTAGGGGTTTTGATTTCTATAGCAGACATTTTTAAATATATAGAGAGCCCCAGACAAACCACAAGATTTTGTGCTGTGACCCTGGGCCTATGGAAGGGGGTTTTTTGTTTGTTTGTTTGTTTTTGTTTTTCCATCCTCCTGTTACTGAAAGGTGGCATTTCAGGGTCCCAGCTTTAGGCAGGAGTCTCAAGTCCAGATCCCTTTCTTTCTAGAACACAAGGCCTGAATGGGTACTAACCCCCAATACTTGAGTGGGGATTCACCCCCAGTCCTTAGCCATTTGGGCTTATATTCATGTGCCATGCTTTTGAATTCACTTTTCTTATCTCACACCTGGAGACCCCCCTTTCTTTCTTTCAATTATTGATCAATTTTGTTAAACTATTCTGTGTTTGAAGCAAGGGTTCCCTGACTTCTTTGCCCCTCATGTTTCCAGAAGTGAGCCTTTTGTTCTTTCCTATCTTTTAAAAACGCTTTCTAGAATAAGCATCGGGTGCTACAGAAACTACATAGGAGAGGTGTCCAACCCAGGCATGAGGGTTCAAAGAAGACTTCCTGGAGCAGCAATCGCCTATCCTGAGACCTGAAGACTGGGCACACATTAGGCAGGCAAAATAACGTGTGTGTGCATTAGGGCAACAGGCTGGAGGAAGAGGTTGGGTGGAGGTTACAGGCAGAAGATAGGGCACATGTGAATATCCAAGAGGGGGGGAAAACAAGCAAACAGCCCATCACATTCTGAGAAGCACAAGTTCCAAGAACTTCAAGGAGTTTGGAGTGAGATTATAAAGTTGGTGAGATAAGTAGAGGCCAGTTCATGATCTGCTTCTGTGCCAGGTTAGGATCGTGGACCTGAGAGCAGATGGGAGCCAATGAAAGTGGCCATCAGGTCACAGAGGGTGCAATCATCAGGTTCAAAAGAAAAACAAATATAATAAAAATGCTCCTTATAGGGCCGAGCCCTTGGCGCACTCAGGAGAGTGCGGCGCTGGGAGCGCGGCAGCGCTCCCGCCGCGGGTTGGATCCTATATAGGGATGACTGGTGCGCTCACAGCGCTCACTGGCTGAGCACGGTTCGGGCCGGTCTCAAAAAGGACAAAAAAAAAAAAAAAATGCTCCTTATATAAATAAATATACACAGCCGGTTAGAAATTGCTGAAACAACTTTGCAAAAGTGCAGACAACCCCAGAGGGCATTCAAGCATTCTAGCACTAACCTCAGCATTCCAGCATAACCTTGAACTCTTAGCCCAAGGATTATAAGGCTCAGTCCAGTGCCCCCACCTCCCAGGAATTTCTCCTACCTGCTTTCGGGAGGGTGGATGAGTACCCCACCTGTCCAATTGTAGATATTTTGGAAATACACAGCTCTTTCAAGAATGTTTTCCCAGATCACCCCATCCGCCCATAAGCCCCCCCAAACTCTGCGGTAACTATCCGTGATGTAAGGACAGGGCTTGAGTAGCAGTAGAAGCTTGAAAATAAAAGTACCCTGGGCCAAGGGCCAAGAGGTCTATTTTTAGAAATTTTTCTCATTGCCTGTTTATCTTTCAGACTCAGCCTAATGTTTTCCAGGCAAGTATTAAAGTTATTTGGCTGGATTGAGGAGGAAAGGAAGAAGGTGATCTAAGACCAAATTGCAGTAGAAATGCTGATAATTTGGGACAGTGTGTTCTAATTTCCCCAACGTGCCCTCACTGGCATTTGGCACCCCCAGCGCAGCTTAATGTAGAATTCATTCAAACCCTTCCTGGTCACTTCTACTGGCTTTGGGACTGGCTTTGGGATTTGGGCAGGTCACAAAGGAAATATAATAGAAGGGTGTGGATTTCGTAAATTATTAAGGACGGCCAGGGTGCTGCTGCTGCTGCTGTCCCTCTGGCCCCAGTTCTCTCTAAAATAGGGCTAGTGATACTGAATTTAACTTCACAACGTTTAACCAAGGCTTTGGAAACTAAAGCGCCCCTGCAGCATCTGGTAATCATTCTCCTACGTGCCTGGTTACTCAGGGGGAAAGGCAACACTGTATTCTTCATCATAAAATTTGATGAGTTATTTTAATCCATTCATGCCCCGAAAGAGAAAAAGGTCGGCGCTATGTCCCGACCTGTAAAATAGGTGGCCCCAGGAATCCTACCACTTGTAAAACGCGCTGCAGAAAACGCTCCTAGCTTGCAGGACCTTAACCCCTTCCATTCCGCGGCCTGGACCGACTTTTAAGGTCGTCCTCCCCGCCCCCTGTCCACACTCCCCAGTTTACTCCAGATCCCGTCTCGCCCGGTCACTCTCCAGCTCTGCTGGGCCGTTTGGAGTTTCCGCGAGGGACAGAGGGGGCGTCACTGGGCAGATCTTCGCGGAGGGCGTTGGGCCCGGCCCCCCTAACCCGCTCGGTCCTCCTTAAGGAGCCTCCGAAGCCTGGAGTAGAGGCGGGTGTTTTGTTCTCTTGAGGAGGAAAAGTTTTTGTGACATCCAGGAAATGAGTAACTCCGCAGCCCCGTGGAGCTTGGTGACGGCGGCCCGAAGGCGGGAGCCGGCCGGGGTCCGCCACCGCCGTCCGTTTGACTGACCCGCCGCACGCTGCCCTGCAGCCGCCGGCAAGCAGCGCGCAAAGCCCGGGTCGCACGGCCCTCTGGCGGCGGGGAGCGGGGACCAAGGCTAAACGTAAGTCCCGGGCCGGCAGCCACGAGGCTCTGCTCCCCGATCGCCTCGTGTGCTGGGAGGAAGAAGGGCGCGAGGGAGACCGGGGATTCGACGGAGCTGCGCCCGAGACGGCGGCTAGGAGCGGGGTTCGGGGGGTGCGGGGTGCACGGGCACCCGCCAGGCCCCCAGGCGGGGCGGGGCTTTGGGGAACCCCCGGAGGGCGCGCGTGCGGAGGCGGGCGCAGCGACTAACCGCGGCCACCGCTCCTGCTCCCCCGCGCCGGGAGAGGCGCGCGGGTCTCTGGGCTCCAGCCGGGACCGCGGAGCCCGTGGGCGCTTCGCTGCGACTGCGCAGCGGGCCCCGGAGCCCGAAGCGGGACCACGTTTTTGTTCCTAGTGCCCGGACGACCCGTTAGCTTGGCCGTCTGAGCAGAGGGCTGCCGCAGGAGGAAAAGCCCGGTCGCTCTGCTCCGTAGCCGCCGCCTCCCTCCCGCCCTGTGAGGAAGGAGTGGGAGTGAAGTTTGTTTCTTCTCGGTTTCTGTTCGGGGAGCTTTGGGGTTGCTTGGCCCGGATGAAACCCCGCCGCTTCCTTTTCTTTTTTATAGTGGAGCAGACCCCACGCTGTACAGGACTTTCTCTCGAGGCTGCAAATAGTCTAACCCCATCCTCAACCTCGTCCCTGTGCCTGCGCCTTTCCAGCTGCTGGGTGAAGGGACTCAGAAGCCCTAGGGCGGGCACCTCCATCTGAAATGCTCCTTCTCTTTAAAAACAGAAATGCTGTGGACCACAAGAGGAAAATATTTTACTAACGAGGCAGGGATCTCATTTTACTCTTGCCTCTCTGCCTGGTGTGAGAAGGGCCTCCCCTTCAAAACTAGGAGAGTCCCAGATACTGGCAGCATTCTAGGTCCTGGTCTTTGGGATCTAAAACAATTTGGGGGCGCGTTCTATTTTCTTGTTCCTCTTTTGGATTTGACGCAGGGCCCTTCCCTTTTACAAACCAATTCCACCTCTGGGAGGCTGCCAGCTGCAGACACAGGCCCAGGTTAGCAGTGAAAATGGGACGGCAGACAGGCAGAACTGCTGTCATTCACCTCCTTGTTAATAACTTAATAGGCTGTGTGTTGGAGTCCTCCCTCCAGCCTACGTGCCTAAGTGGCTTTCATTGTCTGCTAATTCTCTGTGTGTTGCTGCTGCTCCAGGCCATTCTGCCCTCAGATTTTCCGCTTGTGGGTAACCATAAAGTGGTTATAATGATTCTGCTCTCCCTGGCTGGATGGAAAGGCTTTCCTTCAAGTGCCATCCTCCAGCTTGGTAATTTTCAAAGATGCAGCAATTTCAGGCTCTGGCTCTCAGCGGGCAAGGATCTGGACCTTTGACCTGATGTCATCTCCCAGAAGTTGCCACTTCTCTGCTCTTGCAGCACCCACTAGGAAACAAAGAAGAGGGTGTGTGAGTGAACTTTTTATCAGAGGGCGAGTAGGGGCAGGAACTTACGGGGAGAGGGTTCAGGAAAAATTGCCCACTCGAAAAGGTATTGTGTGGGAGGAAAATGGTTTTGTATTTTTCCCTTTTCCAACCCTCTGGGGTCAGTAAAGAGAAAAAGGGTGAGTTGTTTTGTCTGATGAAGAGGGTGCACAGTCTCGGTGGGAGACAGTGGTAAGCACTCCACACATGGAGCCCCATAAGTGTAGGGTTGGGCCGATGGAGTGCACTAGACCAGTTCTCAGTGCCACTTCTTGCAAGGGACACCACTGCCAAACAGGAACTTGTCCAGAGAAGGGTTGTAATGGTGTAGAAGGTCTGGAAAGTGCATCTTATGAGGAAGAAAGGAAAGAACCTGCAGAATGTACCCAGGGATGAGAAGCCTAGGGGGACATGGCTGTGGCCTTCAGGTATCTCAAGCATTGTTTCTCAAGGAAAGAAGACTTGCTCCCTCTGGCCTCAGAGACTCACTGGTTGGACAAAGCAGAGAAGACTGTATTAGTCTGTTTCTGTTGCTTATAACCAAATACCTGGAACTGGGTGATTTCTAAGGAAACGAAATTTATTGCTTACAGTTTCAGATGCTGGGAAGTCCATAGTCTGGGGAACAAATCTGGTGAGAGCTTCCTTTGGTGGTGACTTTAGTGATGCAGGATATCACGTGGCAGAAAATGACAGAGCAGAGAGAGATTAACCTCTCGCGTGCTCTTCTTTTAAAGCCCTCAGAACCATGCCCATGACCACTGTTTTTAAACCATTCACTATGGCCTGGTCCTACAATCCAGTCACCTCCCCAAGGCCCCACCTTTCAGTTACCGTAATAGGATTTCCCATCTTCAACAGTTACAGTGGGAATTAAGCTTCTTCTATATGAACTTTGTGGACACAATTCAATCAATCCACAGCAGAGGCAGATCTCAGTGTAGCCTAGGAAGTAACTTTCCAACAACCAGATCTCCTCCACAGGTAACGTGCTGCCCATCACTGTCAGGCAAGACAATTATGAAGGAAAAAGTGCCTTCAGAGGTGAGGACTCTGTGGTTCCAGGTTTGGCGTTGAGTTCCCTCCATAGGGATGAGGTGGATGGCAGCCCACTGGGCTTTAATCAAGAATTATACTAAGGGCCGGGCAAGTGCTCCAAGTGTGCCAGGGAGCTGAGAAGCAGGGCTTTATTTAGGGCTGACACCAGTTCATCCCAGATTCCCTCTAATCCAGTCTTGCTGAGGAGGGGGGCAGAGCCGTGAGGATGCTAAGAGCTGATAATAATAACCTCCAGGACTGCTGGTAGCTGATTCAGTGCTTTGAGTGAATTAGAATAAGGTTTTCCCTCTCAGCAAGAGTATGGCACTTGGTGCCATTTAGAAATAGGGGCCTTATCTGGGTGGACATAGCCAAGGCATGTAGCTGGGCATGCAGCATGTAAGCTGGATCGCTCCTCACCCCGCACCCGCCACAAGCCTAGTGCCCTTAAGCAGGGCACCACTTGAACAACCATTCACAGCAGCCCTGATAACCCACATTTATCGAGGGCTTAACATTTGCCAGCCTTTTTTCCTTTTTTTTTTTTTTTGCCTGTATTAACTTACTTAATCCTCACAGTAGCCCTGTGAGGTAGGTATTGTTATCCCCATTTTACAGATATGGAAACTGAGGCACAGAAAAGTAAAGTGTTCAGGAGCCTGGAAACTGAGTCCCAATCACTGAGCATTCATAGAGCAAGATGCAAGTTAAGCTTTCAAAACTGGTTTGGTTGGAGACCCTCATGGAAAAAAGGGAAGAGCAATTGCCTTTTTCTTTCTTTGTGAAAGGAGGAAATACCCGCTCTCGGCCCAGGCGGGGGAGAATGGGAAACTCACCTGGCAGGAGAAAGAGGCAGAGAGAAAGAGGCAAGCCCAGCCTTCATGGCTGATGGCAACGCCCGGCCCAGGCATCAAATGCCTTTTCTTAATCGTTGGGCAACGTGAGGTGGCAAATCCAGTTTGGGGCCTGGCATGAGGGTGATGAGTAAGTGCCACCTGGGACTTGGAAAAGGCCTTGACCTAGGTGGAAAGCACCCCCAGTACTGGAAGGAGGCGGGAAATGTCCAAACATGCTATCCTGACCTTCCAGCCCCCTGACACCCATTTGTGTCTCCTTATCCAAGTTCTGTCCACCTGCAAATGCCCATCCCGAGCTTATCCAGAAAAGCTTCCCGAATCTCCACTTCATGGCATCATATATGTGATCACTTAGGTTCCACACTGTACATCTCAGCACTTAATTAGTGGGAACTGAGCATTTTACTACATACTATTTATAGATGCTTTAAACAAAATCGCTTCTCACCAATAAGGAAGTTCGGTCTCCTGGGAAGGACCGGCTGGTACCCAGCAAATTGCCTAAGCAAGGGTGGTGTTTACCTGGATAATGTCAGCTGTCCCAGAGGCTGGCTTTTACCTGTGCCCACTCAGAAACCCTATTTCCATAATTGTCAGAGTGGTTTGGACTTGGGCTACTGAGTCACCCTGAGGAAGCTCCCAGAAGTGAGTGTACAAATTAGAACGCTAGTTTATTAATTTGCAAGAAGACTCTGTGAACATCATACAGATTGGATATCATCTGTTCCCTGGGCAAGCCACATGGGAAACCAAAGATCAGAAGGTGGCTTGTGCTTAGCAAAGCTGGAGTCAGAGCCAAGCAGGAGGAGGGTGGGGGACATTGATGTCTAATAGTGCGGGGCTCTGTCTACCTCTGTGGCCTTCTTGCCAATGGAGAGATACCTGCCAGGTAGACCAGGTCCTCAGGTCAGCCTGGCAGTATGCATCTCCTTGGCCAGTGCCTCAAGGGCAACGTTTGCCTGGTAGGCTTTCTCCCTTTGCTCTGATAATGAAGTGATTTTTCATTTTATTTACTTATTTGTTTAGTGCTTTGCAAGGATTAGCTCCCAGCTACATAGATTTGTATTTGCATAAGTTAAATAAGTACTGTACAATCTCAGGATTGTAGGGCCAGGCCACAAGGGTAAATGCTGTATGCAAATCAAGAGTACGGTCAAGTAACCTGGATGGGTCAACAAGAAGGCAAGCACAGAGCAGAGAAACATAGTTTCTAATCAGCTGGGAGGCCTTGGGCAATGGGAGGGCCATGGCTGGCCACTTACTGCACCCCCTGTGTGAGTCTGGGGGTGAAGCCATCCTAACGCAGTGCTGCTTTGACTGCCTCAGGCCACTTGCCCTGCCCAACTGGCCTTTTTGGATTTAAAAGGCTCTCCCTGGTCTCTGTCCAGGCATCCCAGAGCTCAGGAGATGTGACCCGCACGGCTTTGAAGTGGAGCACACTTGAGTTCAGTCCTTGTTCCACCACTCAGTAGTTGGGCAAGTGCCTTGACTGTTCCAAGCCTCAGTTTCATCATCACTAAAACAGGGGTGAGCCCTCATAGGGCTCTTCAGAGGACTGAGCCAGATGATGGGTAGGAAGCACTGATACGGTGCCTGGCACAGACCTGCGATCTGGCTAGTATGAATTCCTGAGGACGGTGGGGACCAATCAAGGATATATGTTCTCTGCCAGTTGGACTCCCAGCTTCCCCACCAGCCTGCTCCCTCCTCTGAGGTCTGGACAAAGGGCAAGGCTGCAGGGATCCAGACGGCCCTGCTGTGTGGTTTTTAAGGAACTGAGGGCAGAGCTGCTCCTCCTGACCTTTTGGCTGACTCTGGGAGAGGGAAAGTCAGGTTTGAGGCATGGCCTGTCATGGGCATTCAGAGAAGAGAGAAGGGTGAGGAGGTTTTCTGGGAGCAGAAGAGGGTCATTTGGGAGTGCCCAAAAGCCCTCCAGCATCTTTCTTAACAGTCTGGGACCCACGATGTTTTCCTGTAGCCAGAATATTCCCCTCCATCCCCGTGGGCAGCCCCGTGACCTCAGTGGAATGGAAGCATGTTGCAGGTGACATCATCACTGTTGCCCAAGGCAACACCACCATCTTAAGGTAGATAGGGAGGAGAACCGCCCACCTCAACTGTAACACACATGTTGAAGGGGAGGGACATAGAAGTTGTGACATCTGCAGGTGTGTTTCTCAGGGGCTGGGCAGGGGCTGGCTGGACTGTGGGGGCAAGAGGAAGAAGGAGCGGCTGCAGAGCCAGTTGGTAGTGGGTGTTTAGACCTTGGGTTTGGCCCTTGGGAAAATAGCACAGTGCTAACAGCTGCCGTCTCCTTTAGTTCTCCGAGCGTGACTCCTTATGGGGCCTCCTGTAGCCTGAATCTGTAAGGGGGAAGGGAAA